CATGATCCCAGGGTCCTGGGATCAAGCCCCGCATCAGGCTCCCTGCTCCGCAGGAAGCCTGCTTCTCCCTCTCCCACTCCCCCTGCTTGTGTTCCCTCTCTCGCTATGTCTCTCTTTTAAATAAATAAATAAAATCTTAAAAAAGAAACAAAACAAAACACCTATGTGTTTCAGCAGACATAGATTAATATTCTGGCAGCTGGACCACCTGAGGACCCAGAACTATCTCATGCAGAAAAACAGAAAAGGCTACCCTCTCAGCATACAGAGATGTTGGGAAGACCAAATGAAATCCTATGTAAATGGTAAGCACTATACAAACACTAAAAAGTATTTAAAGACAAATATCATGTAAGAAGGTTTCTACAAAATGTTAATACTCTTTAGCAACCGTCAACTGAATGGCAGAGGTCACAGGATTTAAGAGTGGCTGTGAACCTGTGGGCAGTCCGGATGACCTAGAGTTATTTCCGGGGTCCTCAGATCTGTAAGTACATAGAGCACTGTTGGTAGACTGACTAAATACTATAGGTAAGGGGCACTACTTTTTATAAAGTCTGTGCTATTACAACTGGGTTTTTAAAAAGGTTAATTCGGGGGCGCCTGGGTGCCTCAGTTGTTAAGCGTCTGCCTTCGGCTCAGGTCATGATCCCAGGGTCCTGGGATCGAGCCCCACATCGGGCTCCCTGCTCGGGGGGAAGCCTGCTTCTCCCTCTCCCCCTTCTTGTGCCCCCTCTCTTGCTCTCTCTGTGTCAAATAGATAAATAAAATAAATAAAATAAAAATAAAAAAGTTAATTCGTATTGGCTTTATCACGCATTCTCAATTACCCAAATTAAAAGTCCATCAAATGGAAATAAACTTTTAGTTAAAACTGCATGCAAAAATTAGAAACCAACGATGTAACTATTTAGATCACAATGTAATTTTTAAAGGATTACTGAACTGAGCTAGGTAACTCCAGGAAAGCCAGTAAGCAACTAGCACAAGCCATCTTGAAGGGTCAGAGAGAACAGAGAAGCTCCTTCACCGTGTCTGACAGCAGTCACACAAGCAAGTTCATTTGAGAGCCAAGTGAAGTTACAGAATTCCTAACACTGACCAGGTCCCCAGGCCTCCCTTAATTGCTTCCTCAGATTTGCTCTGCCCCAACGCAAGCAGTCCAAGTCGACCAGGAAATGGACAACAAAAACTTATCTCCACGGCAGTGATGACGTCACCAAAACAGACTGCCCAGGAGAGGCTTGAGGTCCCCTGCATTAAGTACTGCATCCTCAGGCAAATGAGCAAGGCCAACACTGTATGTCACCACTGGAACTAACTCCCAAGCTTTCTTCCTCCCCCACAGAGACATTTTGCAAGTAGCTATTCTTAAATTTGTTTTTGAAATCACAGCCTGAGTACTAAAATTGAAACTAGTCAGAGGCACTGCTAAAAAGCCTGTTCTGATTTCATCCACCACACATCACTTTTACCTTTGATTCACAAATCACACTGACCACGATCACCATTAAGAAGTTTTAAAACATTAATGCAAACTATTTTTCTGTGTTTAGGAAAAGGCAGAAATAGAAGGAAGATGTGAGAATAACTGAAGAAATCAACACATTAGAACAAATAACTGAAGAGATCAACACGTTGTAAAATGTGTCTGCAGCAAACTGCAGACATAGAAGCACAGAGATCTATTAGATGGCATTAACAGATAAATGTTTGGTGACACAGGAATGGATGACAGAGAATACAATGGCAACCTTACATGGGAGATAAGAGTCAGCAGAAAGCCAGCAGCCGCAGGCGTTTGGGGAGGGTGGTGCTCATTTCTAGGGCTTCAGTCTCCTTCGGAGGATGACAGCAGTACCAAGGGAAACCACCGTTTAGCCTTACTCAGGAGGACTCCTCCTCCTTACTTCCCCAGGAAACCTTGCCTGTGGTAACTCCTAGTCTAGTATCTAGTCAAATCCTTGGCCTTATTTGTTGAATTGCACAGATGCAGAGTTAAACAATTTTACCATAGGAATAATAGTACATATTTATGTCAAATCTCAGAAAGGAGCAGTGCATAGAAGACTATCACAAGAGTGTGGTCTGGGTTTGCTACACCTTTGCACAGAAAGGCTAATACCAATATAAGGGTAGAAATGATATTAGCGCAATTCTCTTTGGAGATTTATTAGAAGCTAATCAAACAACCAAAACCTTTTTGCTTCACTTGGCGGTAGGGTCAGGAATCAGATTCAAAGCCATACATTATTATAAAGCAATGCTCTTTTTATGGGATTTGGGGGCTTAGGCCTGGTAGGCACAAACAAAACATAATAAAACAATCAAATGCCCAAGTGATCACTAACAATTACCTGGAGATATATACTAACAAAACTATTTTTAGAGTGCTTTCTCCTACATTCCACCCTTCTGTTTGTTTACTCATGCAGTTCTACCACAAACACAAAACTCACATTTCCTTTTTTTTTTTTTAAAGATTTTATTTATTTGAGAGAGAGAGAATGAGATAGAGAGCACGAGAGGGAAGAGGGTCAGAGAAGCAGACTCCCTGCTGAGCAGGGAGCCCGATGTGGGACTCGATCCGGGGACTGCAGGATCATGACCTGACCCGAAGGCAGTCGCTTAACCAACTGAGCCACCCAGGCGCCCCTCACATTTCCTTTTAAAGAAGGGGAGCCAGGGCGGTTGCAGGAGATGGGGTGGCATAGGGCTTTATTTAGTAAACTGTAACTGGTGGGCACTATATTAAACTTTCTTCATCAGCTAAAGAAAAAAAAAATCCAGCATGCCAAATGTGCCTTTGCTCAAAGAGCAGTGCAACAGCAAACATTTGCAGTATCAAATAGCAATGACATGAACTCCCTCAAGTGAACAACAAAATGCCACTAGAGCAAAAGGAAAAACAAGTTTAGTGTTGAAGGCTTCTCTTCCAAAGACATGATCAATTTGAAACTGTAACATTATCTTCTATACTCTCAAGAGCAAACCATACAAATGCTGTTATGATTAACAAAGGCTTCAAGTTGGCCAGAATACCAGACTGCCTACTATGGATTCACTTGCAGAGATGACAAACAACTCCTCTTTCCAAAAGCCTCAGGTTCTACCACCAAGCCATTTCCACAACAGAATTCCTGGCCATGATCACACATCATTTTTAAATTCCTTTAGGTAGGGCAATAACCACACCGATCTCCCTGAGTCAATAACCAGTAATGCCTAATACTCAAAACATCTCAATGAATGAAAAGGTGCTCATCATTACTCTCTAAATTTAAACATTATTTAATTTAAGACTACCATACTTATTACTCACTTAAATACATCATATTTTTAGGTAGCAGAGTTAAAAAAAATAGAATACAACAGGGTTGGGAGGACTAAGCTTTGGCTTGGACAGTATCTTCAGAAGTACTCACAATTCACCTTCCAGTTCTTAAGACTCAAATCTGAGCAAACTCTCCAAAGTCTGAAGAGAAACACACTAATAGACTCTATTAATCCATGGATGAGAAGTCATGCGGCTAATCAGCTGCTTAAGTCACAAGGAAGAGACAAGAGCCTGTTCTTTTGGAATCCAAAGAGAAGACAGAGTATTTTCAACAGGAAAGAACCAACTGGCTAGATACCCATGTACTAAGGTTTTAAGGTTCACATGGCAGGATTGCCAGAATTAATTCGTTTGACAAAACATTTACATAACAAAATTTTTCAGACCCCATTTAAGCACTTTGCTAAAACTGTAGAGCTTCTAATACTGGCACTACACTACAAAAACCTGTGTTAAAAGTCACAACCGCAAATGGAGTATCTTACGATTTTAGGGTAGAACTAAGGTAGCTGTAAGGTAGAACCAGAAGAGGCTTTCAAATGGCATCACTAGAAACAAAGGAGGCAGAGAGAGGGAGATAGCAGGTGGCAAAAGATAGATCACAAACTTCAGGAGCATCGGAAAGCAGTAAAACCCAGAGACTGAGTACAGTACTCTGGAGTCTGATTGCCTGGGCTTGAATCTTCGCTCCTTAACTTACTAGCTGTGTGACCCTGGACCAACAACTTAACCTCTCCGTTCTTTGACAATAATGGTACATGAGGGCTGTTCTGAGCATTAAACATAAAAATCTGTGCAAAAGTTTTTGCCGCGCTGCCCAGAACACAACCAGCGCTCAAATGTTTGCTATTATTATTCTCAATTTTCCACTTTTACGAACCACTAGGCATCAAGCTTTGATTTAAGGTCGTAAGAGGTCCCCGACGCGGTGGAGTCCAAACACAGCTCTACAGCCAACCACCAACTTTCCCCCAACAAGTTTGAAAACTTCCTTCGGGATTTACCACAACATACTTAGGACAAAAAGCTCCCCGTCTCCCAGAGCCAGAAGCGTCTCAAGTGTATACAAGTGCTTGGGGCGAGCCCAATGCACGTGACCTGACTCACTGCCTTGACTCAGTTGCCGTCAGGAAACCTCTCTCACTTAACAGGGTCAGGCTGTTCAACTGAAGACACAGATGGGAACGTGGCTCAGCCGTGGGAGCCTGTTAGCAAGGCCCGCGCGGTCGGCGGCGCCCGGGACAGCGTCCTCAGACAAGGCAGCGGGCGCGGTCGGCTCCGACACACTCCGGCTCGCTGCTCCAAGGCACTCAGCCCAATAGCGCGTCCCGTCGCGGCGCAGGCCCCCAGTGTCCAGAGACCACCCAAATCAGGAGACACTCCGGGTCTCGATGCTACCAGGAAGCACGGCGTCTGGGATCGCCCGCCCGAGGTCGGCAACCCGGCCAGAGCTCACACCCGGCGACCTCTGACCTCCCCCCAATCTCCCGGCCGGGTGCGGTCCGGGCCTGCTCTTGGGCCCTGAGCGACGCTGGGTTTTCCCGCGAGGCTTGCGCTGGGCCCAGAGCCTGCCCAAGGTACGGACGACGCGAGGCCCAGGCGAACGAGGAGCTGAGGAGGGGGATGGGGCCAGGCCACCGGCCAGGCTGGGCCCGCTGCTTACCGCGGCCGCTCCGCTGGAGGCTCCGGGCCGGACGCGTCGCTAGGGCTCCCACCGAGAAGGAAGTACAAGGGAGGACAGGGGCTGAGGAGAAGTTCAAGTTACGGCTCCAGCTGACTCCTCGGCACTCCCCAAGCCTTCAACGCCGCCGCTGCCGCCGCCTCGGGCTTTATGGCCAAGACTCCGGCTCCGCTCCCACTTCCGCCACCGCCGCCGCCCCGAGCGGAAGTACCTGTCACGAGACTCTCGACGCCAAGAGTGCGGGGGAGGAGCCCCGCCTCAATCTTGCGACACGTTCCGGCCGCTTCTGGGCTGAGCCTAGATCACGTGGTACAAACATGTCTGCCCCCAATTGGTCGTTGCCATCTTTGAGGCTCGTACAATGAGAAGGACGGCGCCATGTTGAATCCGCAAACCGCTGTCTCAGCCATCACCCCCACTTCCCCCGCTCCCGCGTTCCCCCCGGAATGAGGAATGACAGGGAAGAGAGGACGAGAGTAAACTGGCTCTTCCAGTAGTGTCCCTCTGCAGAAGGCACTGATCAGTCAACTAAGTAGCCCTACTGTGTGCTCTGAGCTCTTCAGGATCAACAAAGCATGCATGCTCTAGAAACAGGCTTTCTCAGGGAGAGGTCTCTGAGTAGTGGGAGCTAAAAGAGTGGTTATTTGACAGACTTACATTGTGTTGAGGAAGGGTACCCATATTTATTGAGCGCGTACCATGCCCTTGTACTACACCTTTGGATCATCTCCATTTGTCCTTACTTTAATCACTTAAGGAAAGATTATTTTCACCATTTTGGGAACAGGGAACAGAGACCTGCTACAGGTGAGTTTGACCTAGCTCACACAGTAAGTAGTAGAGTGAGATGTGAACCAAGGGAGGTTGGACGTCAATGTGCATGATTTAGTCGACTGAAAATAGATGTACCAATTGTGTAACGGAGTGATAGACATTACCAGGACATTTCTTCTGGTCCAAGAAAATGGAAAACCAGTGTAACCCAACTAACATGAGGTTGCTCCTTAGTGAGTCACAGGTGCACCAGGTGGAGTTGTCTCACAAAGTAAACTTTATTTGCCAGCAAATAAGGAGATCGCTGGGAATAACTTCCAAATCCGTGGCTTACGGAGCAAAGGCAAATGGATTCCTTTTATTTAGGGTTAGGATGAATATTTAGATAAGGGAGCCTTGTCATCTTATGTAGAGGTGAGCAAAGGGAGGTGCATGTGCCTTAAGGAAACATGCCTATACATACACTCTATGTTATGTATATGAGGCTTGTGCTCTTCCTTGGGTGGAGATTTTACAGTTACAATGAGGTAGAGGTAAGTCTTGGTCACTCTGTGGGCCACTCCATGGTCCATCTGCATAGGTGTGAGTAGGGGGTTAAGTTCAAACTGGTCTGGGTGGTCTGGGCAGTTGTTATTGCTTGAGGAGTATTGTTTGTTTGTTTGTTTTTTAGAGATTGTATTTATTTGACAGAGAGAGAGTGCACACAAGTTGGCAGAGTGGCAGGCAGAGGGAGAGGGATAAGCAGGGCTCCCAGCTGAGCAGACAGCCTGATGCAGCTCTATCCCAGGACCCGGAGATCATGACCTGGGCCGAACGCAGACGCTTAACTAACTGAGCCACCCAGGTGCCCCGATTGAGGGGTATTTTGGTTTCCATCAGGGAATGTTATGCCCCTCAGGTCTTTTGCCTGAGTTAAAAGATAAGCTAGAAAGAAGAGCCTAAGGAAAATTGTGGGACGAAGGTCAATGAGTACAACAAGCAGGTAGGGATAAAGGTCAGGCTTTGGAGTCCAGCTGGTGACAACAGCTCAAGACTCCCTGAGCTTACTGTCAAAGGTGAGGCAATAAAGTGGCACACTGTAAAGCTCTTAAGAGGGTGGGACACCCTATCAAAGACCCGCCCCATCTAAACACATTAAGATCAACTTGGAACTTTATCTCCATCTTCAACAACATGCTCTTCTCATAGTCTTTTCCTGTCTTGGTTCATGAAAACTTCACTCTTTCAGTTGCTCACTTCAAAAAACTTTGGAATCATTCTTGTCTCCTGTAGCGGGTTGAATAGTGACTGGCAAAAAGATAAGCCTACATCCTGGACCCTGTGGATGTGACCTGATTTGGAAAAAGGGTATTTGCAAATGTAATTAAGGATCTTGAGATGAGAGCATCCTGGATTATCCAGGTGGGTCCTACATCCAATGACAAGTGTCTTTAGAAGATACACACAGAGTCACAGAGTACAAACACACAGAGAAAGGAAGTCCCTGTGAAGATGGAGTCAGAGATTTGAGTGAGTAGCCACAAACCAAAGAATGCTGACAGACACCAGAAGCTTAAAAAGACTAAAAAAGGGGGGGGGGTTGATTTTGAATTTTCTATTTGAGTTGTACGAGAGACTACATTTCTGTTGTTTTAAGCCTGTGGTGATGTGTTACAGCAGTCCTGGAAAATGAATTTAACTCCCCTCTCTCTTGTGCCCCTCATCCATAGCCTTCAAAAGATATTCAGAATGTGACTACCTCTTACTATCTCTGCCATTACCACCTGGTCTGAACCTCCATCATTTCTCCCCTGGAGTAGTGCAAAAAAATCTTGGTTTCCTGCTCCCACGTCTCTCCTTATCATTTCTTAGCACAGCAGCCAGAGTAATTCTATCAAAATGTCAAACCGTCATTCTCCTGCTCAGACTCTTCCCATAAATCAGACTAAAACTAAAAGCTTTGACTCCCAAATACCTCTCTGACCTCATCTCATTCTAATATCCCCTCAGATCAGTCTGCTCAAACTATACCAGTTTATGAAAAGAGAAGGCACAAATTTAACTCAGGCCTTTACAGTTGCATTTCTTTCTGTCTGGAAAGTTCTTTCCCCAGATACCTGTATGACCACTCCCTCACTTTCTCAGGTTTTGACTTAAATGTCATCTTCTCAGTGAGAATGGCCTTTCTTATTTAAAATGAAAGTTCCTTTTCCTATCAACACTTAGTCACAAAACACCACTTGCTATTTTCCTTACTGCTTTTTTTTTTTTAAGATTTATTTATTTGAGAGAGAGAGAGAGAAAGAGAGTGAGGGGAAGGGCAGAGGGAGAGAATCTTCAAGCAGACTCCCCACTGAGCGTGAAGCCGGATGCCAGGCTCGATCCTATAACCACGAGATCATGACCTGAGCTGAAACCAGGAGTCAGAAGCTTAACTGACTGAGCCACTCAGGCATTTTTTTTTTTGTTTCTTTATATTGTTTACTTTTATTGCCTGTCTCTCCCACTAGAATGGCAGTTCCATAAGGACAGGCATTTTTGTCTATTTCACTCATTGCTGTATCCCTGATCCCTAGAACAGTGCTGGGGCACAATAGGTGCTCAGTGAGTACCATGTGCAGAGTATTCAGGGGAATGGAAATTGGAAATAGTCTCAAAGGTGATTAATTATGGAAATTCCACCCCATTCTGCAGCCATACAAAATGCTAGGTTTGAAGATAAAGAAGCAATTAGAGAACACCTGAAAAGGCAAAGCCCCTGCCTTCTAAGAAGTTGACTGAGAAGGCTATTCAGATGTAAACATGGGCCATTTATTTTTTTTAAGTATTTTATTTATTTGAGAGAGAGAGAGAGAAAGAGAGAGAGAGAGAGCTCAAGCAGGGGGGAGGGGCAGAGGGAGAAGCAGACTCCCCGCTGAGCAGGGAGCCTGACTCAGGGCTCAATCCCAGGAGCTTGGGATCATGACCTGACCTGAAGATAGACAACCAACGGAGCCACCCAGGTGCCCCAACATGGGCTGTTTCTTATGGAAAAGAAAGGATGACTTAGAAGAAACCAATGAGCCAAGAGGGTAGAATCAAGAGCTACAGAGAATCATTCCCAGGGAGCAGGATTGTACCCTAATCAAAGAGCTGGCAATGTGTGCCTAACTGGATTTCAGAATTGCTATGGCCCAGTGGTAGCTATGTGACTCCTGTTTTTCCCTTTTTTGAACAGAAGTGTCTGCTCTGGGGGCACCTGGGTGGTGCAGTTGGTTAAGCATCTGACTCTTGGTTTCAGCTCAGGTTGTGCTCTCAGGGTTGTGAGATCGGGCCCCTCAGCAGGCAGTTGGCTTGGGACTCTCTCTCCCTGTCTCCCTCTGCTCTTCCCCAACTTCAAATAAATAAATAAGTTTAAAAAGGAAAAAAAAAAAGGTGTCTGCTTTGGTTATCTCAAGCCTGTCAACTCTGTTGGTTTCTGGAGAGCAGAAAACCTGTCTATAGCTTACAGGTCTTCAGATAAAGAAGAATAGTACTCAAGAAGCTCTTCTTGAGGAATCATGCCTACTCTGTACCTGGACCCGATTTATATGATAAGATCCATTATGAGCCAGTGATGTTTTGGGATGAGACTTTAAGGGTCCTTGGGAGGAGGTGAATATATTTTGCACATGGAAGGAATGTAAATAATTTGTGTCCAGAAGGTGGACTACAGTAGATTAAAGATGGTGGTAAATTCTTTACTCCTCCTTTGAGATGTGGAATCTACTTCCCTTCCTTTTGAATTTGGGTTGAACTTCCTGACTTATTTAGCCAGTAGGATGTAGCAGAAGTGATCATAAGAAGCTTTACAGTTTTCACCCAGAAGTCTTGAAATGCTCAGGCAGTAGAAGCTTCTCCTCAGACAGCAGGCTCCACACTTTGAGAAGCCCAAACCATTACAGGTGTTCTTATCAACCGCCCCACCTGAGCCCCCAGTAAGCAGTCAGCATTAATTGCCAGCCATGTAACTGCACCATTTGGGATGTCCAGCCATGTTAAATTTCAAATGACTGTAGCCCCAACTAAAAGTTTACTGTAGTCATACAAGAGACTCCAAGTGAGACCTGCCCAGTTGAGCCCAGCCAACCTACAGAACCAAGAGATGCTAATAAATTCTTGTTTTAAGCTGCTATGTTTTGGGCTGCTTTGTTATATAGCAATAGATAACCAGAATAGGGCCTATAGAAAATGAAGGGGAAGGGAACAGTTATACAAAAAACCTTTGGTACAACAGGTTTGGGTTGGGGAAGACAGATTTCAGAGTTGTTGGTTAAGGGAATGACATGATGACAGCTGTTTTAAGAGTCTCCCACTAAATTGGTGTCCTGCTGCAAACAAGAGAGGAGAAAGTCCAAGCTGGGACTGCATGTGAGGCTGGGTGGGCAGGGAATGTCTGGAATTGTGACTTACTGATCTGTGCAGAAAACT